GCAATGATATTATGCAGCGCCTGAAAATAGTCCCCAGCTAGGTAACTTCCAATAAGCCTATTTTCAGGCGCTGCGTAATATCATTGCGCCTGCTGCACCTATGGTACAGCAGCAAAGTTCCTTGATTATTACCGGAATGAGAGTATAGTTCCTAGCCATATCGGCCTAGAAAATCGCAACTTTTCATTTTCCGTCGGTCTTAGTACACGATGTAACTACAGAAGAGTCAAGTTTTAAATAGGAAAAATATCGAAACTCTTTGGTCATTTTTGAGCGAGATGCTAACGGTCTAATCAGATTCAATGATCTATGCTAAGCTGCAGCTAAAAGTGCTACCGCCAGACCCGGAGATCGACTGAATGGATTCGAAAACGGTAAAACTCAACTGTTTAACTCTAGGGGAGTTGGAAAATGAGCCTATTTTCAAAAATAGTGGAGTGTTCCTTTAACTCAACAGAGCTCTGTCATTTCTAATAAAATACATATTAAGTGTACTTGTGCTCCTGTGAAAAGAAGATAATCTGCTGCAAGGTCAGTTCTTACAGAATAATGTGCTGTTTGTAAAGTAACACTTAACTATTATGAACCTTACTGAGGTCTAGACAATGTTTCATGTCTGTACGAATGTCATTAAGGCATCTTGACCCAAACATCTCAGGTGCACTGCATACGGAAATGTCAAGAGCTTCCTCATAATGGCAGGATCCAAGCTGACTGACTGATTTTATAGAATTTCCACTTGTTTTAATAGCTGTATCTTGCCCTCTAATCCTCAGCAGTCTTTATCTTGTTTTTTTTCTATATACCTAGCAAACTCCCTGTGTGGTTCTGCTCTTCTCTAGAGGTTTGAGCTGGAGCTGGGCTGGGCTGCAGGACTCCAGGGTCCAGTCCCAAAGTCAGGATCCCCTCTAGGTCTTGGTACTGCCCCGACTGGATGTCCTGTCGCTGGGCTACAGAATGAATGGCCTGTGGGAGAAAAGAAAAATAGAAAGAACATTAGTCATTAGTGTTCAATGACATGGCGCTAATGTATTCAAAATTACATAAAAATGCAATTTATACAGACAATGACTTGAATACTTCTCTTATATGTTGAAAATTTTGAAAATTTCTGCATTAAAATTAATTTAACATTTCAGTCAGGCTTAAAGTACAAAAATGTCTGGATGGTAATTGTCGTGAGATCATAATAAATAAGAAATAAATAAGAAAAAATTTTAATCAAAAGGCTACTATAGTTTTTTTGTTTTTTTAAGTTATCTGTTATCATTCACATTTATCTCAGTACCATATACACTAACCTTTAGGGCTGCACAATTAATCGAATTTCTAATCGCAATTACAATTATGGATGCCACAATTACGTAATCGTTCAAAGTCCACTTATGTTATTCTGCACGCTTAAGATATGTTTTTTTTCTTTCTACATGTTATCTTAAGGGTTTTTCCATTGTTTTAGTTTTAGTATAACATTATAATACCATTCATATTTTTACTTTTTTATAATTTAAAGAAGAAACCAATCCGATGAATAGTTGACATTTGAGGCTTAATACTATAGAAAAGCACTAAAGGTTTTTCAGTTAGAGTGTTTTCAGCTTGTTTATTTTCATATAAAAATACGGCAAGCAGTTGCATCAAACAATGGTATAAACATCAATCAATGTAAATTGTGATAATCGTAATTAATAATCGCAATTACAATTTCAAGGGAATAATCGACAATTATGATTTTTGTCATAATCGTGCAGCCCTAGTTTAAGGTCAGAAAGACTTTTTAATGTTTTTGAAAGAATGTTCACCAAGACTGCAGATTTAGTATGTGTTGCTTTATGCAAGACTGAAGTTTATTATTTATTTTTCTTTCTTTTTTTACATTATATTGTTAAGTTACCAATTATAAAAAAAATATATAAAATTGGTAAAATACCAATTATCAAGGGCTATTAATCTTGCATTATGCAAACATAAAAATATATATTAAAAAAGTGAATTCTGAAACTGCTGTTTGTTATTGAATAATAACCAAATTAATTATTTTATATATATCTATTCATATCAATATCATATATCCATATGGGGTCATATGGTTCTGCAATGAAATTCAATTTTAGTAACACTTTCACCAAGTGACACACTCACCAAGGCTGCATTTATTTGAAATAAAATACAGTAAAAATCAGTATATTGTGAAACATTATTACACTTTAAAACAACTGCTTTCTATTTGAATATATTATAAAATGTAATTTATTCCTGTGATGCAAAGCTGAATTTTTAGCATCATTACTTCAGTTTTCAGTATCACATGATCCTTCAAAAATCATTCTAATATGCTGTGCTATTTGTGCA